TTTGGGCCCAAATCGTTACAAACTAACCCGTAAGCAAAACCAATTTCCCTTTTAAAATTTCTCCAACAATCTATCACCTGTAAAAACAAAAATTTGTTCCCAAAATAAAACATTCATGCATTGCTGATTTCCCAAAGCAAACTCTAGAGCATCAGTATTAAAAGGTAAACAGTGTAACACAACACGGTCAGCACTCAGCAAGGTCAGGTCACAGAGAGGCCATTTACACCACACTCAGCATTCCTCAGCCTACAAACATGCTGACTTCTCTCACCGCAACTTTGCTCGTGCTATACTCTGAAATATCAACATGAACACCTACTCTAATCATTAACAGTATTAACCATTTGTAAAAATCCACATCTGAAAAAAAATATATTACTATCAAATTAAAGTTTAAGCTCAAATATATTTCTAAAACAGTACACCATAATACACTATAAATAATTAACTATCCCTCAAACTACTTCTACAAAATATAATATATTGATCCATTATTCACTGCATCTACCGCGCATAAAGAGCTGAAACAGACTAGTTTGACAACATGTGTCTGCCACATTATTCGCACAATATACACTTTAGAGTGTAGAAATAGCAGGTCTGCAACCACAGAATCACATCTTCGAGAAACCTGGGAACTACAAGATCCCAGATTCAACACAAATTTAACCAGGCAAATACACACACTTGTGCACAGCAACAACATCTGAAACACACATTACACATGTGCACCCAGCACAGGACCAATAAAAACCTTGTACAGCTAGCACATAGCATGAAGCACAAAAATACCTCGTGCACTCAGCACATAACACAAATTCACCTTGTGCTCCCAGCACGTAACAAATAAAAACCCTGTGCATCCAGCACAACTCATAATACCTCGTGCATCCAGCACGTAACGCAATAACTCTCGTGCTTCCAAACACGACACACAATAAACTCAAGGAACACATATCACGTGCAACCCGCACATGACGCATAGAACACTCATGTAACCAAACACGAACACATATCGAACTCACGTGCAACCCGCACATGACCATAGAACACTCGTGTAACCCACACGAACACATATCGAACTCACGTGCAACCCGCACATGACGCTTAGAACACTCGTGTAACCCAACACGAACACATATCGAACTCACGTGCAACCCGCACATAACATAGAACACTCGTGCAACCCGCACATAACATATAAACTCTAACATATAACACTGGAAAACTTCACCTTAACGACATTCCAGCCCTTCACTGCTGTCCCAAAACACACTGAACTCCCAAAAAAACTGATTAAAAACTGCACCAAAGTGGTGATTACAAATAATAAAAAAAAAATATATTCAAAAACCAAATTTTTCTTCACTAAAAGAACCCAAAAAAAAAATTAAAGCCAATTATTTTGCCCAAGAGGTACCAAGATCGAAGTTTTGTAAAAAATTACAAAACTCCCGGCACTTCCATCACCTTGTACCCGGCGCCTCCACCACCTTGTAACGGTCGTATTCCTCTTGGAATACCTACTGTTACTTTGGGTGACGTAGCTCAGGAATGAAACTCAGCACTCGTTTACAAAACCCAACTTTATTAATTACTCAAAACAACACAAAGAACACAAAGCTCAACTAACAATCAAAAAGGTAGAGTAGACTGGAACTGTATAAATGAGTTAGGAACTTAAAACCCAATTTGGAAAAGACTCTAAACCCCAATTTTGAAAACCCTTAACATTTTCTTACCTGGACCCAAGGCCAAGGGCCTTGGGCTCCAGCTCCCCCAGCAGGACCCCGTCCTCAGGTGCACCACACAAACACTACACACCAAAACTGACCCCTTGATCAAGTGCACTGGCCTACTTAAAGCAACAGCCTTCAGTAGGTCAGCACAACAAGTTGTTGTTTAACAACACTACCAGCCTACTCACACAACATTGCCAAACACTTCCTCTTTACAATATTTGACCCTCCTATTACAAAAGTGTTGGCTAAAAGCTAGGCCATATTACTCGCTTAAGGAGTTCTTTGAGGACGACCTCACGGGACTTTAAATCCACCGCCATTAAGTTTATTAATCCGACTTAATGGAAGTTTGTAAATATTGTAAATATTAGTTTTCATTTTTAAAATTGTAAATAGTTGACGCAGCCTAACCAGCTTATGCTGGTATCAAGCCAAGGAGGAGGTAATGAGGTATGTCACCATTTCAGAATAAAGTAGGCTATGAAAGTGTAATAAAGGTAGGCCGTTGTATGGTAAATTATTGCAAAAGTTAGATTTGTATATTCTACCAATGTTATTATTAGGCCTAAGATTGGATATATTTATATTATATACATAAACAGGTCCATTTTATAGAACAAACACAATTTAGCTTAAACTTAATAAACGTTAGGCCTAATGGTTCTTGAGAAGAGTGTAACAAGAATAAGTAACAAGTATCAAGTAAGTAAGTAAGTAAGAGTGCACCTGTTTAGAAATCATAGATTTGATAGGCCTATCCAAGAATGTTTCATCCGATTATATATTATTTTGTGTTTTTCAAGCAACTGTATGCCTTATAAACCAACAAGTGTTTAGTAACAACTGTAACAGCTAATGAGTTTCTTGTAGTATTAAGTTGAATATAAAATGCAATACCAACTTGAACGTACAACTTTTTAAAACCTTTGAAGGCTCTTTATTTCTTGATCAGTAAGAATATTTGTGCCTGCAAGTGTTTTGCCATCACTAAGTTTGTTTCTTTTCATATTCTTACAAGTTACTGATAGGTGATTCGTCTTAATCATAAAAAATAAGAGAAGTAAACTTTAGCAAGTACAGTAGTGTTTTGTTTTCAAATATAGCAGAAACGACAAACAATGACAGCGACATTAGTAAACAACTCACCATCACAAAAAAACATAATTCTTAATAGTTTCATAGACAGACTAGAAGCTAAAAACAACCAACTGTTGAGTCTAGAAGTCAAAACCACAACACAGCAAACAAATACATAATGTAGATAATGGAACAGAGTAACTTATGTATTAAGGGGTGGGTTCCATAATATCGACAACCGTAGAAATTGATCGAAACTGAATTATTCCCAGTTTGTCGACACTGGAATATTCCCACTTAACCGACATCCCAAATAACCGACGTCGCAAATGATCGACAGCTAGAATCCTCCTTTTAGGTGACATTAATATTCACCTAAATTACAGAAATGCCCATGAGCTTGAATTTCTAAATCTAATCCACAGTTATGGTTTATTCCTAGGAAACCGAGAACCAACACGTGGAAACAACTGTGTCGATACCGTTGTGACCGATCTACCATCCGAATCGTACACTAAGTGTTGTGGGGTGGGTTCCATAATATCGACAACCGTAGAAATTGATCGAAACTGAATTATTCCCAGTTTGTCGACACTGGAATATTCCCATTTAAACCGACATCCCAAACAACCGACGTCACAAATGATCGACACCACAAATTGTCGACATCCATTATTGTCGACAATGAAATAGTTTCATTTTGTAGACACTGAAATAGTCCCAGTATATCGACAAGCTCCCGTTCTTCGGAGCTACTCTTGAAAAGGAGTTGTTCTAATTCATCGTTCAGTTCCTCAACTCACGAGTCGCAATATTTGATTCCGAATTCCGACGGAAGTAGACGTCGCGACCCGTGCGAACCAAGAAAAAAAAATATCACAGGCAAAGAATTCTTCAATACTGTAGAAGGGTGTGACTGAAAGCCACCTTTGAAGTACTTTTTTGAAGTGGTCAAAATCAGCCAGAGTTGAGAAGTTCCGCGATCCCAGTGACTGTCTTGACAGTACAGTTGCCGCCACTTGTAGACGCCAGTACTGGACGCCACTACTGTCCCCGTCTGCAGGGGGCAATGGTCAACAGGTTGCTGTTTCTGCTATTTAGTATTTTGGAACGAAAGCTTTCATAGATATCGACTTATCGAGCGATATCACCAATTGACTATAACAACCACACAAAATTAGTATTATATAGTCAATGATATCACGCTTCAGAATTATTGTTCCTCACGCCGCGCTGCAACTGTTAACTGTGACAATTGACAATCGACAACAGGGGACACAACGGGAAGGGAATGGATTAAAAACTAGATCAATGATTAAAAACCATAGCCTCTTTAATCCTAGTAGATATAAACAGTTAAGTTTAATGAGCACACGCGTCATTCCCACTGAGCTATAATAATATAACTGGAGTAACCACTCTGTGTTTTAAAAACGTACCACTGTTTTTGCTGGTTTTGTTTCAGAGTTTCGTTTTGTTAGGTTGGCCGGGTGATCGGGTTGGTGGGACTTGTCAAATTAGAGAGGCAAAATCAAGATGGCGTCATACTGTTTTGTTGATGATAGTAAACAAAAATCTGCCAACACAACATTATGATTGCAATATAAGTTTATTTGTTTATTTTACGAGCAAGAGCAACCCATTTTAACAAGATCATAAACCGAAGGTCGTTATTTAATCAAATGCCATAAGACTATTAGCCTAAACCATGCCTAAACCAATATCCCTAAACCAGGAAACTTGACTAGCCTATTTTCACCACATAGCTTTAAAAGAGGTAAATAAGTTAGTATTTATTTACTATCAAACAAAAACAATTTATAATGTTTCAAAATAACCTTAAATACAGAGGTTTTAAAGTGCAATAACTTAAATAAGTTTTTGATACAAGTCCCTGAAATAATGGATAACATAACCCCAAATAAATAGTATGGTTAGGTTAGAATGAATTGGAATTATTTGACAGCATCCCACCAACCGATCACACGGCCAACCTAACAACACGAAACACCAAAAACAAACCAGCCAAAACAGTGGCACGTTTTTCTCCAACGTTTAACCAGAGAGTAGTGACTCCAGTTATAATCTATATCTCAATGGTCATTCCTGCCCATAGATGGTCATGAATCATGATTTTTCATCTTCTTCTTCTTCTTCCCAATATTGTTAACGTTAGGAAAAAAAGCTAAAACTTAACCTCAAACAAAATCCGCTAGGCTAGGGCTAGGGCTAGATGCTGATTTTTTATTTTAAATTTACCATCATACAGGTTTTAGAGAAGCCAGGTACTGTATATTTGTTAATTTAGCGATTAAATTTATTGTATGTCCTAACAGTCAACCTACCATCAAATTTACGGATCTGTAGCCCTAAAGTAAAATAATTGAAGCTTGGTATTGAAACTAGGCCTCTTGTAAGCAATGGTTTGGTTACTGTTTGTTTTTATTTTTATTTTACTGAAAGTTCAAACCTCTGGCCCTAAAAGGCTAAACTGTTTATTTACTTCCAATGCTCCAACAGTGCAATAGGCTACCTCCGTTAAAACACTAGGCCTACAGGCGTAAATCAACAATCAAGAATTTATATTCATCAATTATTATTATAAATTATCAATTAGGCCTATTAAAGATGGGGACACCACTATGTGCGTATTTTAACCCGAATATGAGTGAAGGATGAGTGGCGCGATCTTGTAGGCCTAGTCTTGCGAGTGACTAAGGCCGACATGTTCCTTAGACACAGCTGTTAATTAATAGCCCATACAGCTAATGGCAACTAAGGGACCTACAGTTTATACCTAGTGGAATCTGAACCACATTTTTTTCCTTGTAGTTTACGAATTGGCAAGTACTGTGTACGATACATGCAATAGATGAACGTCTTAACATAAATAACAAGGAAAAATGAAAAGGCTCTTAGTTAATAACTCTGGGATGGTAGCGTCGTCCTGTAATCCAGCTAACTTACTAGGAGGTCACGAATTATTGTAGATAGTTACAAGTATGCACTGTGGATACAATACTCCCCGGTGTGGATTAACGCCCATACTAGTGAGTACTATGACTATCTGTAGTGCTAACTTAACTTGATAATTAACTTAGACCAATTCGTTAATTACAAGGCTAAAATGTGGTTCGGATTCCACTCAAAACTGTAGGTCTCTTAGTTACCATTGGCTGTAAGTTATGGGCTATTAATTAACAGCAGTGTCTAAGGAACATGTCAGCTTTAGTCACTAACAGGACTAAGATCAACACACAATCACAAGATCGCACCATTCATCCTTCACTCATATTTGGACTAAAAACACACCTAGTGGCGTCCCCATCTTAAATACCTAATTGATAACGTAATAATCTGTTTTGGATTTGGTAAATTAACTTAGGTCCAAAATAAATTAGCTATAAAATCAAATTGGTAGGCTAACTTATAGGTATTGGCAAAATTTCAATATCTGACACCATTCTATTAAAATCATGTAATATAACTTATTAAATAATTACCAATTATGTATTGTTATGTACCGGTACAGGGCAATTCCATAAAATGGTCAACCTCTATACTTTTTTGTCAACTTTATCAAACCCATTACTGTTATACATTTTTGGAAAGCTCGTTAGTGTAGCTTTCCACTCATAACATTGGTTACAAAAAAAAAATAAATAAAAAATATATACATGTTTTTTTATAGACTACCGTTTTTTTTTTTCACTCCGATTTACAACCATGTTGGTTATTTTCATAACCAACAAACAAAATTTACTCAAATAAGCCTTATGAATTATTTTTTTGATAGTTTAAGAGTAAAGCTAAATATTAATGCAATTTAGAATTAAGAAAAAGGTTTTCTGTCCACCCTACAGATGTTTAACATTAAGAAAGATTAAATTCTACGTCCGACACCAAAAATGTATGTTTAGTTTTACTGTGGCTAGAGGGATTTTTTTTAAAGCTTGAAAACTAGTATGCAAAGCAAGTTTACATAGGTCTAAATGATCCATGTTTGGAAAAAAATCTATCATGTATGGTTTTTTTTTAATCATGGTGTCGGACGTAGAAAATATTTCCTACGTCCGACTCTACGTCCGACACCAAAGTACTAAAATTGGGTAGTGTATGTTAAATACCGTAACATGCTGCATATACTATAAAACCCTAAGTTGAGTTTTTATCATAGTACTCAATTAACCTGCACTAAGGAACCTTTCAGTTTAGTTAGATGTAAAATTTATCCCACACCCCCATTGTTAAACATAAATAAAAACATATCACCCAAATTTATAAGTTTTTGTAAGCTTCAAAAGTAAAAAAAAATATATAACATTTGCTACAACTGTTGGTTATTAAATCTCCTAAACTGTGTTTTAAAGTATTTAAACAAAACCCATATAGGCTAACATAATGGGAAACCAATAAACGTTTAAGTGTACACATTACCTATGAAAATATAATAGCATGCCAGAAAGTTCGCAATTTGGCAACATTGTTTCTCTGCACACTACATTTACAGCAAGAAAAAAACATCTTTAAATTGGAGGGAAAGTTCACAGCACACTGGTGTGTAAAGTTGAGGTTATGTTAGTTGAGTTCAGTTACACAGCTCCTTCTGCTTTCCAAGTTTGATTCATAGATTGTATTTTGCACTGCTTTTTAAATCAGTTCATATTCAGGTAAGCTTATTTCTGTAATTTAGCCTATATTTGAATTCAAACATCTAAATTAGTTTTAATAAATTGTAACTAATCAAACTTACCTAAACAGTTATGTTCCAGTCTAATCTACTAACTGCCTTTAAGCCTAACTGCATTTTTAATATATGATTTTAGTCATATGATTTGAAACTCAAAACAAATAAAAAATATTTACCAAAACAAATTCAGTTTGTTTATGTTTACTTTTCAAGCAAGATGTTTACATTGATTATTTAGTTTAATCATTGACTTTGGATTCATAGTCAATGGTTAAGTACAAGTTTTCATCCATGTATTTTAAGTGCATTTTTCATGCAAAATAATGTTTGATACATCAACATTGATTTTTAAATGTAAGCATTGTTATTTAAGTCTAATCTAATGACTTAAATCTAATTGGATTTTTGTATGGTTTTCAGACCTGGCTTCTGATTATTTTTAACATGACAAATGTTTTTAACCAAGTTTTAACAAAAACCTTATTACATAGGCTAGGTAGGCCTACTGTGTTATTGAAAATCAAATCACAAGTAAATATGATCTCAAACTATTAAAAATTTTTTTTCCAGGAACATGCCTTTATCAAACAAAGAAAAAATGGCCCGGAAAAGGGAACGAATAAATGCAGACCCAGATAAAAAGAAATCCCAGTTGGAAAAGGACCGTGAAAGGAAGAGGTTGTCAAGGGAAGCTGCTCTTCGGAATTCCAGCCAAGAAGAGATTGATGAACACAAGAAGAAAGAAAGGGAAAGATTTAAAAAATGGTACCAAGCGAAAAAAGAAAACCAAGAATCAACAGGTTTCAAGACTCCTGAAAAAGTGTCACCCTACCAAACTAAACAGTCAGAAGGCAAGGCTATTAAAAGGGTGAGTAGCAGCCTTCCGTTTTCGCCAAATAAAAAGGCTCACATCGTTAAGTGTTTGGCTAAGCAGTGTGGACTAGAGCTAAAAAAGAAATCTTCTCCCAATAAAGAAGTAGCTGATGAGGACAGTTATAAGGAGGTTGAAGAGTTTTACAACAGTGATTTAGCAACTTGGCAGGCTCCGGGACGAAAGGACCATGTTATTTACAGAAAGAAGATTGAACATGGAAAAAAAGAAAAGTACACTGTACAAACTCGATATCTCGTAATGAGTTTAAAAGAAGCGTGGACACTTTTCAAGGAGAAAAATCCAGGTGTAAAGGTAGGACTATCAAAGTTCTGCAGTCTTCGTCCCAAACATGTTAAATGTTTTTCTGACATACCGCACAATGTTTGTGTGTGCTCTTATCATGAGAATATTCGCTTATTATTAGTGTCTCTAGAACCACACACAGGACTTTCAACCACTTTTAAATCATTTATTGACAAAGTTGTTTGTGACTCGCAATCAAAACTATGCATGACTAGAGGATGCCATCTATGCGTCAATCTGATTGATTTGTACAAACCAAAAGGGGAAAATGTACCCCTAAAGTACTTACAGTGGCAGAAGGTTGATGGGCACGTGCAGAAAATCGAAATATTGAGTTCGGTTGAGGAAGCATTTTGTGAGTTGACAACTCAGTTGAAACCTTTCTTGATCCATACTTACGTCAAGAGGAGACAAGCTAATGAGTTCCAGAAGATCAAAACACGCGTAAATGGAAATGAAATTTTACTTCAAATGGATTTTTCAGAAAATGCGACCATTCTACACCAAAATGAAATACAGTCAGCACATTGGACCCATAGCCAGGCTACTGTCTTTACATCGTATGCTTGGTTTGCGGAAAATGTCAGTCAAAGCTGTGTTATTGTATCTGATGATCTGGAGCACACAGAAAATCAAATTTACTGTTATTTGAACTTCTTGCTACAACAACTAAAATCAATCCAACCAGATATTACTAAGGTCAATGTATTTTCTGATGGAACATCAGCTCAATTCAAGAATCGCTTTATGTTTTCAGTTCTCCCTTTTCTACAGAGTAAGTTTGAGGTTGAGATCCACTGGCATTTCTTTGCAACTTCCCACGGCAAAGGTGTGGTTGACGGCATAGGAGGAACCGTTAAGAGACGTGTTTGGAACTATTGCAAAGCCAATGCAGGTCATGTTCTGAGCACAGCAGAAGATTTTGCCGAGATTGCTGCTTTAAGGAACCCCAATGTTTTAGTTAAGTTCATTTCAAGTAAGGATATTCAAGAAGCAGTGATTGAGGGTCTGCAAATATGGGAGTGTTCCGTACCAGTACCTAACACTCACAAAGTGCATTATGTGACGGCAGCTGGATCAAAAGATTTCTTAATTGTAGGCGACACAAGCGACGATTTAGTAAAAAGAAAAGTAAAAATTGTTCAAAATCCGGAGTCTTCGGATAGTGATGACTCAGAACAGGAGTATGGCGAGCGTTTCGAAATAGAGAGAAATGACCTAAACCTTCAGGATTTAGTGCCTCAAAAAGACTGGGTTGTGGTTAAATACGATAATGATTACTATCCAGGTGAAGTACAGTGCGTTGAACAAAATGAAGCCAAAGTGAAAGTAATGCATTGCTCCAAGTCAGGTGCATACTATTTCTGGCCAACTGATGAAGACTGTATTATGTACAAAGCCAAAGACATTGTGAAGAAAATTGAGCCTCCTGAACCTTACGGAGGAACAAGAGACCACTATAAATTTAAAAGTATCATCGGTCCACTTCCAGATGTGCTCCCTTGAACACATTTTCTCATGTCTTACTTTTAGGCATATAACCCAAAGTGCCCATGAATTTTTCATTTCATTATTTTTTTTAAAGAGACTAATTTGTAGAGAATGGGTAATTTGTAGGAATTAAGAAGCTGTAACTTTTTTAAGTTAAATAAGCAAAATATCTAATAAAAGATGTAAAGTTTTTATCAGTCTTTTAATTTTTCCCTGAAGGTAAAATGTCAAACCATATTGTGCAACGTAAATGTTCGAAATTTAAATATTTTAAACCCAGGTATAGAGGATTTTAGTAATTTTATTTGCTCAGGCTCATTTAAATGCATGAATAAATGTTTAAAAGGGTTCATATAAAATTGTGAACGTTTTTTTACATTTAATTACTACCTATTATTTGTAAATCTAAAAAAAATCACACAACCTACGTCCGACACCAAAAATTCTACGTCCGACACCGTAGGAGATTTTATTTGTGTCAAAACTATTGAACCAAAAAACTTGAACATAGGCTCTTTTTAAAGCTAATAAGTTTCTTTACATCCATGATTTTTTCTGTTGTTTTATCTCTTTAAAATTCACAGATTTTTAAAGTCAAATAAGGAAAAAAGAAATATCGATTTTGTGCACTCTACGTCCGACACCGCAGAAAAATTTTTTTTAGCCATTAAAGATTTTAAAATTTAAAAAATGTTACATATGAAAATGTTCTTAAAGAACTGTTCTTTCAAATAAAAATACTAAAGATTAAGGTTTTTTACAAAAAGTAATTTTAAAGCATTAAAATAGCAGAAAAATGTGTCTGAAATCTACGTCCGACACCGTGGAATTGCCCTACAGTTGAAAGAAGTTATTGTAAGGAGTTGATTGGTTATTGATCAAATCATACTTTAATTGTTTGATCATCCAATGGAGTAGGTTAGTATTAAAGTTTCACAGGTAACTTATTGTAAGGTGTAAAATGTTGAAATAGGTATTGTATGCATAGCCTATGTCTACTTCCACGGACAAATCTTCCACAAAGAAACAAAATTCAAACGCCTCTTGGTTATAGGCTACTCAAAATATTGGATTGTTGTATGTTGTATTGTTTGTACCTATTCTTTAACATAATTTATTTTTATCGAAGGATGAATAGGCTACGTTAATTAATTTAAGCTTGGTTTCAGATCTAGTATAATGGAGTTTCAGTCAAAGACACCAATGACTGACGAAGAGAGAGCAGAGCTAGCAGCTAAACTTGATAAAGATCTTGATGACTTCATTGATGGTTTAGAAAAACGTTCTTACACTGAAGGATGGCCTGAGGATAGGTGGCAGGAGGTTTGTGTTAGTTATTGTCATACTTGCTGAAATGTTTAAAACATATTTTCAACTTTTATTTTAACTCAAAGCTCACAGTGTTGAATTTTCAGAGTGTTCAAGAGCCGAAGCTAGATGAGAACCAGTAATTGTTGTTGCAAAATTAAGAAATAGGTTAGGGTGGTATGTAAGTTTTTACTGTTGTTGCCCATCCTTGTTGTTTTCTGATGCCTATACAGTAGTTTCAAGGCTTTGGTTGTGACAATGTTAATATCGCTTAAACTTAGCATTTTTGTCCTAGTCATACATAAAATACTCATACAGTAGGCCTACAGTAAAACCCCTAACATCCTGCCTCGGATTTTCCGGTACTCAGTTTATGCGGCCACTGAACGGAATCGATAGCAAAAATATTTCTCAGGCTGTTCACGTAGTTTCAATGATTTGAGCGTTCTCACGGTTGATTTTTTTGTATTTTTTTTCTTGTATCAGATAAAATCTACAACATGGACGAGACTGGGCTGAATTTGGCTGAATTTAAAACGGTTGCCTCAAAATACATTCTCTGTTGAAGATTTGAGTTCAGCACCAGGGTTTAAGTTAATCGAAAAGTGTGCAAAGTTACTCTGTGCTCTAATGCATCTAGGGAGCATAAACTTCTACTTCTCTTCATCGGTAAATCCACAGAGAAGTAAGATACAGAGGAAACATGCTTATGGGACAACCGTGCGCTTTAAGCTCTGGTATGTTTGGGGCAGAAATGTACTAGTACGGGAAGAGCCTGAACGGCGATGGCCACATAGCATATTTGTACAACAGTTGTAGCGCTCAGGGAGCGGAAGGGACAACTGATAGTCCTTCTAGACACCAGTGACTGATGCTAGACACCACTTAAGTGTACAATTGAATGTATCCTCTGTATCTTAATTCTCTGTGGTAAATCCCAGACACCTCGAGCCTTCAAACACATCAATGTTTCTTCTCTTCCTGTGATTTATCTTACTCGTGTGGATGGACATCAGTGGTAAAAGTTACTGGAAATTTCTATACAAGATAAGCTAAACCCCTTATTTCCTGTGTGTGGCTCATCTGAAGCTCTCATTTCTCAGCAAGAATATTTGTTTACTGTGTACTCCTATCTAATACTTATTTCATTAGGAAATGGAAAAACACCCATTCTTCATGACCAAGCCTCCGAATCCAGAAGAAAAATTGTCTCCATTGATGGAAGGGCTGCAACAGCTTAAGTATGACACTACTGAGAACACACCTGAAGGTACATTATTACCACTGACATCAGCAGTTTTTCATTTTAAAGATCAGTAATCATTAGTAAATTAGTGAATGTTAGGTCAACCTATGAATTGGTAAAGTGGGATGATTGAAATGACTCGCTTATTGGGTCTGATGATGATTGCAGTGTCCATTCAAAATCGATCACCACTTACCATCTTTTTATATCTATATACCGTCTTGTGAGTAAACAGTATAACCTGTAATATATTATTACAAGTGTTATTTGACATATTTTTTGTACTTTCAGATCTGTCAACTGTCAACACCAAAAGAAACATAATCATATTATGTCGTTTTCAGCTAATACATACTACGATACTAATTAATTGGAACTGACCTGAGTAATAGTGGTTGAAGTACCGAACACAATGTTGGTACCTGATTTCAACTGGCGGCGACGGGAGCTTTGATACTGTACCTTAGTCTAAAATACTTTGATGGTGTAACTAAGGGGCAGACCTCGTATTTATTATGAAGGACATACAATGTACAATGTCAATATTTATTGCATAATATATACAACAACCTGTACAATAATGTATTGTTAATATTTCAGAATTAGCAGCAACTTACAAAGAGGAAGGGAATTTCAACTTCAAATGCAAAAAGTATCGTTTTGCAATATTAAGCTTTACAGAAGGAATAAAACAAAAATGCTCTGATAACAGTTTAAACGCTCAACTCTACAACAACCGAGCTGCTGCAAACTTCTTCCTGCAGAATTTTAGGTTTGTTTCGATTAAGAAATATTTTGTTTAAATTTTCTTTGTGGGCCACTCTAGACCAACATTTGCACATTTATGTTACTTCAATTACATCTAAGAGTTACACTCTTTCATTTTCTGATAAAATTTACTTAATAATACAATTTATAATTTAGTGATGAGAACTCCTCACTCTGTCAGCTTTTGTACCATCTTCTTGCATAACAAGTTTACAAAGAAAAATAGTCAAATGGAGAAAACCCTTTTGAAAGCCCTTCAGGAGCTTTGACTAGATTAAGTTCAGTACATGATAAATCTTTAAATTTTAGCTTTTGATGCAGTTAACACTTCGGCACCAATATAGTGCCGACCAGTAACTAAATTTTACAAAGGTAAATACAATTTTTAATTACACTAAAGTCTAAAACCATTACTTTTTATCCTGAAGAAGTCATCACACCCTATATAGACTAGCTGTTGTCATTGTTGCCAATTTCTTAATTCAAATTGAACATGTTTGATTGAGCTTGGCACAGATTGTGTTACTGTCAAAATTTGATTTTCTCTTGTTTTTTTAGTTGATGTTTTATGAGTCATTAAAACCAATGAGAATTACAGCCAATAAGTCAAAAAGTAAGCATGTATGCCAGAAATAATTTATTGACATCAGCACAATCTATCAAAAGCTCAGTTCAAGTCAAAATATTCTTTATTTGATATAGTGTCACATTACATGAACTTGAATATTCATAAACTAAATTCAAAATTACTTACAGCTAAGTAAATACATCAAACCACCAAAAAAACACATAATAAAAATATAAATATGTTGTAAATATTGTTGTTCAACCACCATTTTCATTCAACAGGCTACAAGTTTATACGAGTAAGATGACTATTTTCCTCCTTAGACAAAGATTGTTCATGTATGTAAATGTAAACTATACCAAGACTATGTTAGTTGTGTATAACACAGGAGTTCCCTGTCAGACTGTCTAGCAGCGTTGAAGCTCCAGCCGCAGTATGAGAAGGCGTTGGTCCGCGCGGCGCAGTGTTGCCAACAACTAGGCAGGTACGCAGAGTGTCAAACATATTGTGACCAGGTGCTCGCCACCAACCCTTCCCACCCCGACATGGTCAAACTACGCAAGGACGCGGTTACTAAACAAGTGAGTCTGTGTAGAAAAGTAATTATACAAATGGCATAACGCAGTTTTGCTCTTTAATTCTCTTCAGTAATACATTTAAACACCTGATCAATCAAAATAAAGGGGGCAAGGCCAATGGAATAACCTATTTGATAAATCAATGGTTTGAATTTTATTTGGTTGGAATTTGAAAACTATTTCGGTTTAAAGAAATCTACAACCTCCTTACAGTTTTGATTACTGTCATCTTAAATGGTAACTTTATTCACAAAACCTATGACTTAGAGACCAACAATTAATTGCATATTTATTTTATCTTTGTTGTTTGAAATCCTTGTAATCTACTCCATTCCATTCCATTGGCCAAATCAGGCCAATGGTAGACAGTTTCCGTTTAGAATTTATATTTAAATTGATTTCCATGGTTACTGTTTCCAAGGTTTCAGCTTCGTTTGCTTTGTTACAGTTGATTAGGTTTTGGTTGCCTAGAAACTACTCTTAAAGCTTAAAGGTTAAGTGCCTACCTCTCTTTGCATACAACTAACCTTTAGTGTTTTAGTATATAATAACTCCAGTGATTTTATGCTATTGAAACCCTCCCTTATCTGACTTGTACATTACCTATAGAAAATGGCCGAAAGAGACAAGAGGAAAGAAGCTATTCTAGAAAAACAAGCAAAGCTAGAAGAGGAAAAGTTGTTAAAAGCCATTCAAGAGAGAAATATCAAAGTTCTTGGTTCAGGTGAGACTGAATTTTGAGATTAAAATCTAATTTAATTGAGCTGAAAAGGTAGTGTTTAGTAATTCTTCAGTAGGCCTTCTTTTGTTTTTTTTCACTCCCTTTTCCTCATTGGCTATAAACAGTATGAAAACAGACTGTTTTCTTCCTATTAACAGCAAGTGTCTCTAAATAATATTTATAGTATGTCTAAGGAACTACTGTTCAACAGAATAATAGGGATAAATAACAACCCTGAGTTGGAATGACCGGCTGAAACGTACTGGACAAGGAAGTACCTAGTGACAGAAGTTTTATTTGACCTATTACCTTTCCGGTAATGAGGAACGTTCCTGACTGTTATTGTAAAGTAATGGTATTTCTTATCTCTGTTGCAGATAATACAATCACATCTCTGAAGCAGATAGAGTCAACATTCCCAGAGGCTGTACAAAGGTCAGTTCATCTGGACAACGGCAGACTGGTGTGGCCCGTCATGTTCCTCTACCCGGAATACCAGACTACGGACTTCATACAGCAATTTCATGAGGATACTAGGTAGGGCCTACACTAGATCAAATTATACATTAGGTACTAGTGATATTGTAACAATTGTAAATACACATTTAGCTAAGGAAAACCAGATCTAACTTTGCAAGCAAGCAGAGAGTGAGGATAGATTTTTTTGGAAATGTCAGTAATTTTAAAAACACCCTAAACATGTTCAAGTATTACTGCATGCACATTTAAAACACTTTTTGAATGTCTAAGTACACAATATTAAATTAAAACTTAAAGAATTCAACATGAAAGAAATGTATACAGAGTATCACAGTTAACTAACACAATGTAAACAAAGTTTGCTTGTAAATGTTAAAACAACATAGGCCAAACCTAAAACAAACAATCTTCAACTACAAAACGATGTTCAGGTTTGACAGGAAGGTTTAAATGTTAACTCCCTCTCTATGAAGTATATTGCTGTGACTGTGGGGTTTCATTATAGAACAGGTTGGATCAAGGAATATAGAAAAACCCCCAGAATATAGTTAAAATCTGATACGATTCTAAATCTTGAAACGTTTTACCCTAGAACCAGTAATAATAATTACACAAAACTTTAGTACCAGCAATGAATACAAACCTTTTAAGAAGCGAAACGCTTATGGAGAATAGTCAGACTGGAATTTTGCCGCCGAAATGAGCTTCGTGCGGCCGCCACTACGATCGCTTGCTTGGTGGATGCGCTACTCTATCTCTCTCTCTCTCTCTCTCTCCCTCTCTCTCTCTCTCTCTCCCTCTCTCTCTCTCTCTCTCTCTCTAAGCAGATTCTTTGTCTCACTCTCTCTCACTCTCAGCTGGGACTTGGCCGCGCGCTCGTGATAACGGCCGCTGCGGGAACCATTGAAAATTCAAATGTTTCCAGATTTTAGAAAGGCATTGCACTTCTTAAAGGATTTGCATTCATTGGTACCAATAAGTTTTAAATTGTTAATCTATATTCTATATTGCACATTTTAGGGGGATTGAAGGCAGTGTTCCCCCCTTTTTTGCAGCTACATATTTAAATTGATAAATTAATTTAATGTTTATGCACAGTATAACTCAATGCCTTCACTATGTTGTTTTCCTTCCCCCCTACTTCCAATGGTCATTTATCGCCATCAACATACCCAATAAACATACAGTATACACAAAACAATTGTGGTACAAATAACCAAATAATATACTTTTGACAGATTCATAGACCAGCTAAGTGAAGTATTCTCGGAATCTGCGGACTGGGACCAGGACAGAAAATATTCTCTGGAAGATATTCGAGTATATTTTGAAGATCCAAACGGAAAAGCTCACTTGGTAGACACTCAATACTCTCTCGGCCAGATCATCACTGACTACAGGTGAATAGTTTATGATTGAACTCGTTTCGTGATCGTTAATTTAATAGTAGCGCCAGCTGTAAATATTTTAAAATACTTTTTTGTCGATATCATGTGTTTATTATCATGTCAAGAAATGAAGTTTAAGCTTTTATTTTTTATTAATATTGTAGCTTGGCAAATCTGCAACATTCAACTGTCTACATATTGAATTGAAGTTAAAATGTACATTTTTTGAATTGCTGAGTTGAATAAATGTTTGTTAATATTGAGATAACTCTCCAAGAAATGAGACAACCAATGTTAGGAGGGCCACTATCTTATTGTTGCGCAGTATTATATTATGTTTGTTGTTGTAGTGTAATTTTTTCCTGATCCGGTTTCAATAAAAATTCAAGTTGTTTCTGATTAAGAAGTACAACTTTATAAGTTATCAGAAAAAAAAATGATTGGAAGGGCATTACCTTATCTTGTATCTTACAGTACCTCTAAATGTGAACATTTCTGTGCTGTTTTCTATAAAAATAAACAGTTTTTCATAGAAGTTCTTGGTGATCTTCTAATGGGAAAGAATTTACCCTTTTAATGGATATCCTTGAAGAGTTTCAAGTCCATAGGCTTCGTACTCAGTGAAAGACAGAAAGTGATTCAGAAATTAGTGAGTAAAATGCAATAATCAGAAGGCTTCTTTAGTTGTATTACTCAATATAGATATCAACTTGTATATAGATTCTAGGAAAACTAAAAGCGTCCCACTAATAGGCTCTATATTTATCATTTTTGTAGCATCAGAAAGAAAAAAGGTTATTGATTATAAGTAAGAAATTACTTGAAGTAGTAAACAAGTAAGTGATTTGAATGTATTGTAAAATTCGTAACTTTTTGTATTTTTCCAGGTACCGGGTTGATGGTGGGACTCCAGCTTTTATTATTGTTGTTAAAGGCACAAAAAGTGAAGCCAGACTGTTGCAGTCGTAAGGTTTTTATATTGTTATCTTTATTAATAAAATATTTCATAAAACAAGATTATTTATTTACTTTTAATATCTTCATTTGAAGGGTTTTAAGGTCGGTGTACAATATCCATAAATTTTTTTTCGCTCAAACAAGCCACACTTCACAGATGGGATGAAATGATAATGCTATAGTAAAATGTGTCGCAATTAAAATATTTGTTGTGTTGTCAAACAAATCATACAACTGTTTACACTTAAAACAATTCACGCTTGAAATAATCAACTGAGGCTGGTAACCTGTCTGACTGGCCTTGTGTAAAGCAGCTTAACTCTTGCTAGTAAAATATAAAAGTCTGTTAGGCAGACCTGAAATTTGTTGTCATAAAATTTTTAGTGCCCAGCGCAAACTGAGAAGAACATAATATTTCCCCATGCGTGCAAAATATCCCCCTTGTTCGACCGAGCCTGAGCTCACTGAGCTCTTATTGCAGTTTAAAGCAGTTTGGTTGGGAAGCGGGCATTCCACAAGTATGTGCTGCGGAACCGTGATGGGAAGCGGGCAGCCCACATACAGTCAAAGTGTTAAGAGAGGAAATGCTAAAACAAAAATCATAGATTTATTATTTTAATGGTAACATGCACTATTTTGTATAGTTTACAAAACACAATAATTAAAACTATTTACATTATTGGGGACATGCATACAATCCTTAATTATCACTAAGGTGTATGTTAGTTCTTAATACAAATAGAACACGAATAACAAATTGAATTTATTAAATGCATATTTTAACTTTGGTAAACTATACTAAACATCTAAAATTGACAAAGGCAGTTTTTAATGTTTCAAAAAGGTTGACATTGAATGATTATCAACTATATGCAGAGCTAAAATAAAAATCTGCAGCTCTTAAACATCAGATTTCTTTATTTTGTATTCCCCTACATTGAAGATTCAAACGTGTAAAATTGTGTACACTCCTAAAACTCAATTTGTTTTTTTAAATTTGACACACATGATTTCACTGCTGGATCATAAAATGGTTGAAAGAGGACGGATTTTAGCTTGTGAAAAGATATCTGCATTCTAATATACTTTTTACATGTTTATCGTCTTAGTTGTTGTTTTACTTTAAAGTAATCATTCAAGGAAATATTAAAACACATAAGCATCAACCAAAGCATAGCTTTAGGTACAGAAAATACATCAATATCTTGTAATGTATCTTATTGATTGTTTTTATAATCGAAGTACAATATCTTAATGATTTTTTCACCACACTATGATGTTTTTGGCTGTATTACATACGTTAATTGGTGGCTGAAAGTTACCTTTTGCCTGGCCATGCCAGCTGTCATCATAATTTGGGGACCGAGCAGGTTTTTACAGGCCGGGGCCGCAAAATCAGCTGTCCGCTTACTTACTTAAAACACGAATGCATTTTAAATACACAATCAAAATCCATTACCATGATTGCAATAGAATTGTGTTATTGTCACCGTTGCCTAGCAACTATTTATTTTTATTTTTGCTGATTCCTCAAATTATTTCTTCACATATCAGTGTGCATTATTATAGTGGTGAAAAGTGGTAATAGGGTAATAGTGTGGTGAAAAATAGCGTTCGTACCACGGACCGAAATGGTTTTGCAGCTCTCGATCGATTTAAGTTCTCGACTTCGTCTCGAACTTAAAAACTATCTCGAGCCGGCAAAACCTCATTTTCGGCCCTTGGTACGAAATATACTATTGTATTAACAATAAGTTGTTGAATTCTTTGCATTCTCTAAGCTTTCTACCATAATAACTTTTGTTTTTTTAACTTAGATTGTTTTTTTACTTTAAAACTACGCACATTAAAAACAATTCTTTTTTAACAGCTTGTAGACAATACATCAATTGGCTTTAGCTATTTTATTTCTTTATTTGGTAGTCCCAGATAACTTGTAGATTTAACTATCTTTCAAGTTTCAAAGTTGTGCCGAAATTACAATTTTTGTCACTGGAAATCATTTGAAAACAAATGCATTGAAACATCATAAAATAAAGCTTCTCTAATGGAAGTTCAATTATTGCATCATCTTATTATTCTTAGTAAGTTAAAATATTTATTGCCATCCTAAAACGATAATGATTTAATTTTGTTAACTTTCCCTTTCACACTAATCCAATATTCTTTGTCACCACCAATGATTTCTATCTAGCAAATACAGCTGTTAGCGCTATACTCAATAAAACTGCAGAAACTGTAGAAATTGAAGATGAACTTTCCAGCCCTTGTTGGTTCGGCTCGTCAATGGCGTTGTCCATCATCATCTGCTCATTGTTGCGGGAGGGGTACCATGGAGTGGGGGAAGGTGTGGGGGGTCGCCAGGCACTAGAAGGGGTAGTGGATGGAGTGGAAGGCATCCAGCTCATCCCCCTGCCATAGCTGGACCGAGGGAACGTGTGTTCCGAGATTGTTTGGGAAGTGACTGTTACTTCCCCTCCGGTTGTACTTCGACCACGGCCTGGCATCCACGAGGGCGACTGACCCAACCAGTCAGGACTGTGACTGGACGATCCTCCTGTTAAATTAAGCGTTAATTATTTTATTAGAAACCAACTGATATCAATTAAATTACCACTAAATCCAAACAGTTTTAAAAGGTTAGTTTTTGGAAATAGCGTTTATAAGTACTTGCAGCCAGCAACTAATCGTCTTTATTTTTCTCGTCTTTAATAAGCCGCTTTTAGTATATCTCTTAAATCTTTCAACTTAAAGATGGTGTAAAGTCGGATAGCTTGGACTAACGATTGGCCATCCCAATTATGTCACCAGTATTTTAACCAAAATGGACGTAGTTAAATTGGGTTAACAAGTGTAATGTAAGTTACTGATTTCAGTTTATATCTCATCAACTACCTCAGTAACAAAAATGATGTGCCTGAGATGAAAAAGAAAGAAACGACGGTCAGTGAATTTGAAGGTGGAGCTGGGATTCCAAATTGTTTAGGTTTGAAAATTATTGTTGGATTCTAATTTTCTTTTTATATACTTTTTCTGTCAAATTTCCACTTTCCAGAATCCTAAAGACAAAGCTAATATTCACCTGACACCGTCTTGGTACTCATAGAGTCTGACCAGGACGGACTGTCACTCTGGTAGTCAGTGGTACGAGTGTTGCTGTTAATATCAAACGTAGGCTTGGTGTTGGCTCTTGTTACAGTGTCCATGGCTCCGTCAGTGCGGCCTAGAGGTGTGTAGAAGTCTGACCCGGGACAGTCTACGCGGGTAGGTCTGCAGACGACATAGTCAACTGTGAATACTTAAAATGTACATAAGTGACAAATAGTAGACAACAGTTATAGACCCAATTCTATACCCAATGCAATAGACAAAGCTTTATTGAACACATTGTCTGACTCATTGATTCAGAAGTTCTCATTGATTGTACATATTCAAGTCATTATACATCTAGATCCCATCCAATAAATTCTTGTAACAAGGGTAAAAGCCTTCAAATTTATCATTTTAAAATTTATGAATATTGTAATAATGTTTTGGCTGAATGTATTTTTCAGTTTGGATGTAACATTTTCTTTCATAAAGTTCTGTCAAATTTATGTCAAACAATCGTAAGACAAATTCAAAACAATTGTCCTTGTCCGATGAACAAGAAAGGATTGCTGTTGTAGATGTTGAGTTTTTACTACTTACTCATAATTGTGACACTGGTCCTTCAGGAAGCTGAGGGCTTTGTCTAGGATCTGGCGAGAGAACGGACCAGCCTGTGGGTCACAAGTGTTGCGGGTTCGATCCAGAACACACTCTCGGAAACGATGGTGAGAACTGTGATTAGAAACAAAGTAGGCTAAATGTACAACTGTAAATGACATTAATGGTACATAAAAAAATATGATTCGTGAAGTATTTATTTGAATGTAGATTTATCATGATATTATATCTAGCAAATCTAATCTAATAATCTAACTAATGATTGGTACATGAGCTATTCTGCATTTTCTTGCAATCTTCACTCACTGGGAACACCCCACCCCCTCCCATAAAATGGTTCTTTGTGTGTAAAGGGCTCTGTGTTTTTTTGTATTGCTTAGTCAATATAACATATGGTAAAACTTAACAAAGATTCCTTTTTTTATTGCTACATATCCACTCGTCAAACCTTTATTGTTTTAAGTAAAACCACTGACATTTGGATACTGAAGTAAACATCCTATTTTTATGTACCAATTGTAGCCTTTTTTTATCAAAAAGAACATAATTGGATGGGCCACTCACAAAGTGCGTCTAAAATTCTCTGAGTTTATGTTACTGAGATAGTTGATGTAACATAAAAGATGCAATAGCTTAAGTTTACAATAAGCCATCCTACGGAATTGTCATGGTTTAACAGTAAGTATATCCAACAGAAATCAATAATTATTGTCAGTCAGCTGGTTCAGGCACTAATTCAACCATTTTTACATTTTCATTTTAAAACTGGTGACATCTTTGACTTAGGGATAGAATGTCTACTTCTATCAATACTGAAGTGAAAGGTAAAACTTATTTTTCCCCAAAGTCCTTTCTGGACCATGATTACAAAAGCTAAGGATATCCCCTCTTACCACAAGTTGTTTACTCACCAGCAGATGGCAGCGCGGCCAGCGTCTCCGGACACTTGTGCTGCGAGGTGGCGATAGTGACGTCCACAGTGACTGTCTTTTGTCAGTGTAGCTTTCATACATGACGCATGCTTCAGATACTCTGCGACAAACCGTGGAAAATATCAGTGAACAAGTTGACCTGTAGTTTATTGTGTAGGTAACCTTCAATTCAATGATGAGCAATAATTATTTAATCGCTACTAATTTTGCTAATCAGCAGCACTCAGAGTGACAGGTCAGCAGAAATTTGAGAGTGACTTGGTGTACTTTTCAGTTAAATTTCTTTGCTAATGTAAAAGCTTCAATTTACCAATCAAGAAGTAATTTCAGTCGACTCTCTGCTTGTTTGTTACATTCTTCTTACTTCTACAGTTTTTACCATCTTTTAAAGAAAACAAATTTCATTTAAGTACCTTTAATGGTATAGTTTCTTTTCTTCATTACCTATAGTCAAACTGTTTATGAATTGAACAAAATCATTGCTTAATAATAACCACTGACTCAATCTAATTAAACATATTAATAACTTATGTTTTTATTTTGTCTTTTTGAATCCTGCAGTTTTGTGTGATCTACACACTTAGAATGTAATATTGTAAAGCAACATTGTTGATGCAACTACTGCTACTCATCTCGTATTATGAATTAAAGGGCTTCAATGTCCACCCTAAAATAAGAAAAAATATATCTATCATCATCCACATGCTCAAGCGTTACAGTTAAAAATAAAAATACGGTAAACAAGATTCAGATTCTGCAATGGGTTAAGAAGTTTACTAGTAGTATTTAAACTCAACTGAACAACTTAGTGGTTTTTTATTTCTATATGAAATTAAAGCAATTTAATAAAAAACATGGAAACTTTCCAACCTAAGTCCAGATGCTTGTTTATTAAAGCTCTCTGAATACCTCATCTGATGTGGAGCACAACAATCCGACCAATCCGGAAAAAATGCCTCCGTCTTCCAGATAAGATGCTAACATAGCCTTCTTGAGAATGAAACCCTCAAACGGACGGAAGAAATGGGAAATTATGAACTACAAGACGACAGACTGAAGGAGGAGCATTGAAGGCCAAAGTCATGACTTGGACAAGAGCTAAAAAGTTGACTTACCATGGAGACCATGTGTAAAACTTGTCTTAATTTTTAGCCAATTAAGAAGGGGGCACTAGTGGGTGCATTTAACTCCAAATATGAATTAACACATTCACAACCAGGTCAAACAAGAGTCCTCACACAGAGGAGTGTGACGGTTGGTAGGTAACGTGTGAAACCTATTTAGGTGTGGAATGAAGTGAGATGTTCTGTGTAGCTTTGTTATTAACTAAGACCAGCTGTTTCATTAGTTTCTCTACGAAATAAGTCAAGTCACTTACCATTCTGGTACTCTGGAACTGTACACAGCTGGTGAATGGAGTCAACTGGACTTTCCACAGCTTTGTTAAACTCTTGTCTGCGTCTCTCGGTAAAACATTTCTCGGTGTAATCCTTTACACAGTTCACAAACAAACTCCATGTCCTGAAACATGTTATGTTGTGCTTAAATAGTAGTGTAGTCTTAAGTTTTCTAGAGTGGAAACACTTATTAGTGTCTCAGAAAAAGCACAGACTGCCTGATTGAAATATATAGGATCTTGGAAAATGCAACGTTGGAAGGCCGTTCCCACATGTCCTCATCCCACGACACAAATTAAATAAGGCACCTGAAAATCTACTTTTTCAGTAGTTTACGTAACAGGACGAAGATTTTAATTGACAATAGTCATAGTGCTTAAATTCTAGTACTAATAACCACTGCCAATATGAAGTATTTTTGGTGTAAGACCTGTGCGTAAAAAACGCTGGATAGCTTTTAATCCAGCCTGTTTGTCAGACCACAGACTACCCACCTGCAAACGTGATCTATATCCTGTTGCTTGTCTGGGTAAATCAGCTGAGGATCTTTCAGCAAAGGATCAGCAAGTTTTACACAATATTGGTAGTCCTGCTTGGTACATTCTCCAGACACTCTGCCCAACCCTACAACACAAAATATCAGATTTACACTCGGAGTGATATAGTTCTAGGACACACACATATTCTGATTGCACATTCACCTTTTCAGTAATAAATGTTATCACTTAAGCCAAAATGATCAGATTTTTATTAAATTTGGTTCAAACAGGTAAACATACGTTTATTCTAACAAGTTCGTGCGAACCAGCATGATCGGACTATGGGAACAGGGGTTTATGGGGTAAAAATTGGCTTTTCTCATTTTTTACTCTCATAATATTAAATTTTCCAATTTGTCTCTAAATTACTTTGAAGGGTTAAAAAAACAAATAATTCAGTATACTGAAGTGTTTTGTACAGTTATTAGTTAAGGAGAAAACAAAAAAAATAAAGCTATTATGTTTTAATAAAAAAACACACTTTATTACCCCTCCCTGTAGTAGCAAACCTAGGTACTCGTTAAACCTAATGTTATTTAAATAGATTTAAGTGAAAATCAAATCAGGGAAATGGAAATTCGCTTAGACTGTAGGTTTGCTGTGGAAGGGATATATTTCTAGTAATAGCTATTAAAATTATATTTTCATTACAGTACTTACTTGAAATCGTGAAGGCAAACAGCAAAAGGCCAACCCATTCACTCATATTGATAACTGTAACCAAATTAAGAGATCTTAGTAAAAAATCAATTAAATCAACGTTTCTGTATCGATATTAATTTTTATCTGTTCAGGCCTATAGGTACTTATACAGATTTTTGTAATATGACTACCTATAGCATTAAATGTACAATAAACATTCATCATCTTACATTCCTTCCACCATGATCTTACATAATATTATTTAAGTCTCCATTGCACTTTCTCATATAATTTTTTCCTATTTTTTTGTTTTGATTAGTGTTTTATTTTGGATATTATGATTGGCTTAAACTATATTATATAAGACCATTAAAATATTTTCTCGCAAAGCTTGTACTTTTTGTTTAAGTTATGGGGTTTTGTGTGTGAAAATCTCATATTTAATGCAAGAATACTTATATAATATTTAACTGGTTAGCTTGTCTAGACTTTTTAAACATAAATCCCAAAGTACCCATGAACTTTCGAGAAACTACAAGTCACACCCCCATAAACCATATAGGTACTTAAAATGTTCATCATGATCTTGCGCAAAACTATCCATTATTTCATAAATTGCCCTTTATGGTCATAATTCCTATCCAAAGGAACTTTCCATATACCTAAAGTTAAAAATACCCCAGCTGTATTTGTTGTTATTCTTTCAATTTATTCCCTTATTAAAATCAGGTGTGATTATTATTTTTGTATTACTGTATTCTGTTTTGTTTATTTCAGCTTAACATTACCAATCAATAGTTTTATTAATACTTATGAAGTCAAACGGGGGAAGCCCGTGGGTAATGGCTAGTTTTGAATAAAACCTGTTTATCTTTCTTAATGGAAAATCCGTTAAACTTGAAGTTACATAATCAAGTAAAAACACCTGCGGAACAGATGGAATCACCATGACTTGCTAAACCATTGTTTGTTAATAGTAGAGCAAAAACAATGTTTTATGAATTACGTCGCGAAAACTGTATGGATATTTGAATTAACTTCCATTCAACCAAGCCAGCTACTAAAGAAACGCCTAGGCGAAGATAAAGATAAAGACCCGCACGTTCATCGCCGGAGTACCTCGATTGCCTACCTAGCGCCTGGCTAATTTTCTACGTGTTTCTATCTATATCACTCGCATTCTCTAGTTAGGGACTAGTGTGACAGCAATAAAAAAACTACGTATACCTTGGATTTATGTGTGGTAGAAATTATCTACGAAAAATCACGATTTTTCTAAAGGAAGATTCTGTAATCTACAGCAGGAACTCGCCTGAGAAATCTACAATAAAACAATCCAATGGCTAGGAGTGTAGGGCCTATAGATGGAACGTTTACAACCTTAACTATGCATGTCTAAACAATCAACGGATAATGTACGCTTATTGAAATGAACTAATGTGGAACATGGAACTTTCAGGTAAGCGATAAATATTACCAAATTCAGTTTTGATTAGAGAGCCGCTGGGGCGGAGAGCCGGTGAAAGCTGCGGCTAAAGGTGTATTGTTGGGATAATTACTTTGGGGTCTGCCCCCCCCCCCCAGAACTGACTTTGTCTTCTTAATTAAACCCATCTTCAACTGGTCATCGACAGTCGATTGATTACTTGTTAATTAATACTATAATGCGTCTGTTGTTCACTTGCAATATTGTAAAAAATAGCCTTATCTACGTACTCAGGGTTTGTATTACCCTTTTCGATATTGATTTAGGGCTCTGTCTCCCAGATTTTAATAGTTATTCACATACTAAGCTATTAGAAGTGATGAAAAATGCATTCTACGAATATTCAAACGTTGTTTGCAATTTTTATAACAGTAAATAACCAAAGATCCGCTTCAACTTTTTTAATATCTTTACTTAACTCTGTGACCTTATTCACGGCCTCAAGTCAGGCCATTGTCTACTTTTGTTAATTGAATCAAACCCACAACACCAGTTGCACCAACCAAACAAAGGAGATGGTCAATTTAGCTTGGCGAGTCTTGAGTAACGACGATTAGAGAGTCCAGTCGTCCGTGAAGACCCTTCCATCGACATTGCAATCAGGTGTTTTGGAAAAGAACACTCGGGAATTTCAGGGAATTTATTAGTGAATTTCCCATATAGAGAATTATGCTATTATCGTAGGTCCCATATTATGATAAGTCCATAGATAAAACATAGACCTAGACCCGGACTGCTTCACTTTTTCGTTAAGATGCCGCAAAGGCCCAAAACACATATTCGTTGTTATAATTGTTTTATTTGGTCAAGTTATTAACTTTGAAACCAGAAACAAACAGTAAACAAATTATGGGAATTTAGTCTTGCATGTGGCTAAATGATGGAAAATTTTTACAAGTTGTTTTTATAAGTATTTTGTTATTGTAGATATTTGCACTGTTTCAGAATGCAAAACTAGAGTTCACGCGAAGGGGGGGGTGCTTAGTCGTGGCTGTAAAATAATACAAATTTGTATAATCAAAATTGAGATTCATAATGTCTTTGCAGTTTAGAGTTATTTAACAATGCAAAACTACTGAACAACTCAGTTAACGTGGTATATCTACTTATGGTTGCACAAATAACACATCCCCGAGTTCAGTATATTACAATACAGTGTAGTGGGTGGTGGGTGAGGGCAAAGTCCGTTATCATCCAAGGTCAGCCTTATCTCACGAGATATCGCGGGATCTCGTGCGGCTGATGGTGATTGCCGGGAATCCTTACTCGCTTTACCCCTGACCTTTGAACTACGTACAATCTGGCAGATTTATTATTATTACTACAAATGCATGCTGTATCTTACGTGTTCTGTGTCATAAGGTATTTTACGACGTTCCGGTGTATTTATACCACAAATGCATACGTGATGAGGTAGACTATTGTTAGTGTTCGTTTTATATATTTTAAAAGTAATCCTAAATATCACAATGTCGTTATTTGTACAGTTTGCTTTTAGAGGAGGATAGTAACTGGTTGTATCAATCGAAAATTTAATTTAATGATTTACAACAAACACCGATTGGAATGAGATGTACAAAGATTAACAACCTGAGGCAATAGAGTCGTCATTTCGGAAACCGGTAGCAAAAAAGCGTTGAAATCGTCGACAGGAAATAGATTCGTCATGTGGAAATGCGGCGAATCTAACTCCCCCCTCTGGTAGGGGGACCCACGCTTGGGGGGGGGGTATGATCATGATTGTTGGCACTGATAAGATCCTTGCTGTCTAGCCTTTGACTCAATTTCAATACGATACAAATAAAATGATATAAGTTGTGTTTGTACTTGGAATAATTGTAGTAAGAAAATAGTTGAAGTTTCCTAATTTAATGTTTTCTTTAAATCTTATAAGTTCTGAGATATCCATAATACGAGTGATAATACGCTGGGGCGACAACGTGCATTTTCATGATCTATAGTGTCTATAACAACAGTCAGAAATAGAATTGCGTCAGGCTTTTTATGCATACTCAAACCCCTTCAGATCTTCGACTACATCTACCACTGACTGGAACCTGTGTCTATGCATACACTATCTTAAAGTACGGTATCTAAAGTTAATGGCTAAATAAATTAATGAAACCACGTTCTCGCCAATATCAATCTAGCCAGTGGTGTGTCTAGTGAGGTGTGGCGTCCCATCTATTCTTTTTTCCAGGAATGTTTTCAGAGAAGGGGACTAAGTAAGTATTAATTAATTATTCCCTTGTCTGTGATTCTATATGTTGCTCAGACGACTCGGCGTGTTGGGTAATTGACGTTTAACGTAAACACAAAGTGGTGAAGGTCAACCATCGATTCCGTTTATTGACCAGAGTAATCGCGCCAAATCTAAACACGAAGCACGCACAACACTCGTAAAAACTCACAACTTTTAAGTGTTTGCAAACTACCGACAAACCGCCAATAAGCTTATTGAAGTTTGGCTCTCGTTGAACAAAAACTAATTGACCGTTGCTAGACGTAATTTATTCGGTTTAAGTTATTACCATTGATATGTTTAGAGTATTAAAGACAAAGTAATATCGGCGCTTACTTAATATACAGTAGTCATTACCATATTCGCTACAGAATCGGTTAACATAGAGTAATAAAAACAAGATTGCAAAGCCATCTCATGCACCGTCAGTGTTGAGTGTTATGGCCATGCAAATGCGTGTTTTATCACGCCATGTAAGGGTTGACACCCCGACCTTGAGCAACAAAGGCTTGTAAAATGTGACGATTATAGGAGACGGGGTGAGGAAACTAAGTTCAAAACCTGTATGCAACAGTGACCAATACATAGGTGTCGGCTTTAACTCTTTATACCGAAATAGACGTATCAAACTTTATGTTGGAGTATATAAAAGCTGTGACGTTTCGAGTATGATTTTTACCGAAACTATAACTTCAATCTGAAATGGAAATTCTAAGAAAAGAATGAATTAATGGGGGAGATTGCAAACCCGTCTCTGGTATAAATCTACCAAAGAAAGAAGCGTCCAAGTGCCTTAAGTTTGCGTGACAACACTTGTTTAATCAACAAACTCTTCAGCAGAACAAATATTGTCAGCTTGAAGGCGTTACAAAATTCAACACTCTGTTGCGTGCCAGACCGACCTAGTTTTTTCTACTCCAATATTAGGGTTATCATTTCGATTAAGATCCAGACATGAATATTTCCTCGGGTTGATTTGGCCTCAATGTGTTCTGTAAACTATTCATTTTTGACATAGGTCAACTTGCAACTTTGGCCCGGTTTGTGCTTGATACGTTTTTGATCGTTGGTTTGATGGAAAATATGAAAAAAGGTAAACGTATGATTAAATTTAAATGTTATAGGATTGTGTGAAATAGATTGTTCTCCTCGTTTTAAAGACTATTCCTTTTGTTGTTTTATTGATATGTCGATCTTCCGATCTTAATCTGAAGGCGTAAAAATACATTTGTAACATTTGTATTAAAATATATTTTTCAGCCATATTTTCAGAGGTTCACTCCCAGGAATATGGGGTAGTTCTTTACCAAAACTATACGTACACTTACCAAACAACCACAAGAT